TTACTTTTCAGTCAATTTTCATTCAGCCGTCTTTCTTTAAAGTCAATTTAAATTCAGCCCTATTCGTTCCAATTTCTTCAATCATTGCATTTTTATTTCTTTTAAACACCTTAGATAAAAGGTCCTTGCTGCAAACAAGGCAAAAAAGAACCTTGCTGGGAGTTTTTACTATTCTCTCTCCCACACAATCGCCTGAGAGTTAGCCATCGGAAAAAGGGATAGGCTGGTGTTCATTTCATTATTTTGGATGTTTTATACAAATACTCTGCCACGCCCGCAAGAGACCATTGACCGGCGTAAGACCAAAAAACCGCACGAACAAATGGACACAAATGTTATCTTTTTAGTACCATGGCCTAAATTCTTGGCATCATTTTCTTGATTGAGAAAGATCGTTGATAGAACGAGTAAATCATTTCATTTTATTTTATTTTTAAAAACAGGGTTCGTGAAAAATATCAGATTTTGTGATCAAACTCTGGCTAGTGGAGGGAATGAGGATCAATTTCTTAAACTGTTCTGTATGGAAATATATATATATATATATATATATATATATATATGTGTGTGTGTGTGTGTGTGTGTGTGTGTGTGTGTGTGTGTGTGTGTGTGTGTGTGCGCGTGCTTTCATCAACGCAAGTTCAGCGTTTTCATTGAACTAACCCTTCCATTTTTCCTCTGGACTTGAAATCCCATCTGAGTTACAATATTCTCAATCCTCTCAAGCAATTCTTTTAGGGAATGGTTGGATGTAAATCTCATCTGCCTCTCCGAAATATCCTAAAATAACACAAACAAATGTGCAAACTTCACAATCAAATTGCTTATAGAATTTGTAAACTTCACTATTGAACAACAAAAATTACGCAGAAAGATATAATATTATAAAAATAGTTATTTTTTTACTTTGGTTTTTACCTCTTTCTCAAAGAAACCAGACAGATCAAGGAATGAAGACATTCCAATCAGCTGAAAGGCATTGATGAGTGTAGGTGATTTTGAAATTTTTTCTTGCTTCTGATGTCTACAACAGTGAAATAAATTGCATCAGCTTTGGCACAAAATCATTAAATGAATAAAACCAGCAAGGGACAAAAACAACCAAGCTATCCAAGTTCATACCATCTCATGTATCGACAAAACTTCAACATCTACACATATATCTTCTTCGTCATCATCTGGGCTGGCAGGAATATAGTCTTGCTTGAACCATTCGTCTACTTTGATCTCTGCCATTGTTATCCTTGTAATAGGGTTGGGATCAAGAATTCTCCTTATTAAGTTTTGTGCTCCTGGGATTAGCCATTTTGGTATCTGAACATCCCCTTTGAAAATCTGAAATGCCTCAGAGGGTTGGAGACTGAAAGTTCATGAAATTTCAAGTCATAAAAATGCGTTGTATATATAAGTAGAAAACACACACACACACACATAGAAAGAGCTTTGTATGCCAATTTGTTTCTTTACTGAATAAATTAAGAATGAACACTTGTAATTAATATTTGTACAAGTGGACTATTATTGGTTTTCCCATGTTTAGACTCTAGTGCATCATATTTTGTAAAGAATTATATTTAATACTATAATTTTATTTAACTCTTTTTTTTTTTTCTTCCTTCTTCTTTTTATTTATTTATTTATTTATTTTTAAATAGTAATGACATAATCACTTAAGATTTAAAATATATGTATGTATATAGCATATAAACTAGTGCAAAATTCAATGGTGTGAAATATGAGACACAATAACAATTTTTTTTCTAAAAAAATTGTTCTAAATTCATAAAATTATTTTTAGACAACAAAATAATTTTTTTAATTTTTGTTTTTCAAAAACTGTTTTGTAATTTTACCTGTTCACATTCTCTATTCTTGAAAACAATTTTAAGAGAAGAAAACCAAGCAAGGCTTAATATTTCTATGCCAATTTGTTTCTTTACCGAATAAGTTAAGACTGAACCGACGCTGTACGACATAATAGTAAATCAAGAACAAAATATTAACATATTACATGAATTGATAAAAACAAACAATTTATCTATGTTATAAAAAATGTCATTACATTGACAGTGCCATTACAATGGATGAAAAAAACAATTCTAATTCAAATCATTCAGCTGTTGGCATCTTGAAGCAACAAATCGGACAAAAGTTACCAATCTCCAGCCAATGAACAATGCAATCTTCATGGTAGACATGATCACAGGGCATGCGAGTGACTTCAGAACCAGCTCGAAACTTGACGAAACAAATTATACATTGATCCATGTAACCTTTTATCCATGGTACGGTCTTCTCCCCATCCCCATCCCCATCCCCATCCCCATCCCCATTCTCCGGATGGTGCTAGAACAAGTGTCTATGTCACCAGAGAGAATACTACTAAATATATCGTCAGTTGTGTCCGAAAGGGTGATTACGTCCGTTCATGAAATTTCAAGTCATAAAAATGCGTCATAAAAATGCATTGTATATATTAGTAGAAAACACGTCATAAAAATACGTTGTATATATAAGTAGAAAACACACACACACACACATATAAAGAGCTTTGTATGCCAATTTGTTTCTTTACTGAATAAATTAAGAATGAACACTTGTAAATTAATATTTGTACAAGTGGACTATTGGTTTTCCCATGTTTAAACTCTAGTGCATCATATTTTGGTAAAGAATTATATTTAATACTATAATTTTATTTAACTCTTTTTTTTTTTTTTTTCTTCCTTTGGTGTGAAATAAGAGACACAATAACAATTTTTTTCACTTAAGATTTAGAATATAATGTCTGTATATAGCATATAAACTAGGTACAAAATTCAATGGTGTGAAATATGAGACACAATCAAATAGTTTTTTAAATTTTAAGAAAATCAAGCGAGACTTAATATTTCTGTGCCAATTTGTTTCTTTACTGAATAAATAGTAAATCAAAGAACAAAAAATTAATAACATATTATATGAATTGAAGCTGTACACAGAATAGTAAATCAAAGAACAAAAAATTAACAACATATTACATGAATTGATAAAAACAAAACGATTTATATATGTTATAAAAAATGTCATTACATTTATAGTGCCATTACAATTAAGGGCGGAGCCACCTGTGGGCTAACCTGGGCTGTAGCACAGGTCCAAAAAAAAAAAAAATTTTACTACTACTACTATTTCCTACAGCTATAGCCCAGCCCAAGTTTCCCAATCCATGATAATGGCCAAGCCCACTAGCCCAGCAAACCCTAACTATTCAGCGCTGAGGCTTACCGCATACACGAATACACAAACTGATACAAATCATACAAGGGTTTGAATACTGAAACCCTAAATCCCATGAATCACCCACTTCAGTGAGTCCTTTACAAGAACTTTCGGAGTTGGACCAGAAGATTGAAGACTTGAAGAGTCAGAATTGTCAGATTATAATGGAAAAATCCGAAAATCATCTTGTAAGTGCTCAAATTTAGATTATAGATACATCTATATACATTTATATATATATGAATTTGTATATGAAATTGTGCATATTAAATCTATCTTTCAAATATATATATATAGATTTGCATACTTTGATCTAGGGTTTCAGTTACTTTAAATTTGGAATTTTTTTTTTTTTTTTTGGGGAGAATTGAAACTTATGTTGTGTGTAGACGGTGTAGTTATAATAAAATAATATTCCAACCACTCAAATACTTTCATATATATATATATAAATAGATGAAAGCAGAAAAATAGAGAGAGAAATTCATTTAATATATAGATGAAATAGAGAGAGAAATTCAGATTATATGCAGTGAAAGTTTGAAACCAAAAACCCCAAGCCAAATTGATGACGATTAATGGAGATTAATACACAAACCCATAGAGATCCACCGAAATTAACACAGAAAAAATAATAATATATATATTTTTTACAATTCCAATTTCAAAGTCCTGTTTGGTGCACCCAAACACAACATAGATGATTATAGAAGATCACAATGTTTATTGATTGCGGTAACCGTGCTATTAAACAGAAACAGAGTCTCTGAATCACAAACCCACAAAGCAAAAGTTAAATTTTTTTTTTTTTGACATACAATTTACAAACACACCTACAATTTTCAAATTTCAATCTAGATGGACCAAAACAATACATAAATATACACATTTGACAAAAAAAAATTGCTCAACAATGAAAAACAGTGAGTTATGTGAATCAAAGACAAATTATTGTGTGAATCTTCAAATTTTCTTATCTTTCGCCATCTTTCTTTGAAATCCTAGTTCCGCCCTGATTACCATGGATGCAAAAAAAAAAAAAAAAAACAATTCTAATTCAAATCATTCAGCTGTTGGCATCTTGAAGCAACAAATCAGACAAAAGTTACTGATCTCCAGCCAATGAACAATGCAATCTTCATGGTAGACATGATCACAGGGCATACGAGTGACTTCAGAACCAACTCGAAACTTGACGAAACAAATTATACATTTATCCATGTAACCACCTATCCATGGTACGGTCTTCAACCCATCATGGTCTTCGTCCACGTCCTTATCCACCTCCCCATCCCACGGCCACGGCCACGGATAATACGTAACCATCATGTCTATGAAAAAAAGAGGTGTGCTAGTGATGCTAGAACAAGTGACTTGTTCTATGTCACCAGAGAGAATCCTACTAAATAAATCGTCAGTTGTGTCCGAGAGCTGGTCACGATTGCTGGTGATTACCTCCGTACTGGTGTGGGATCTACAAAAGGGTTCGCTAGTAGTTTTGGCTCGACAATCAGAGAGAATGCTATGAAATATATGGTCACGATCGAGGGTAATTCATATATGGTCACGATTGGGGTAAAATGATAACTTTATTTTATTATTAGGGATTTTTCAAACTGGTTGGGATTTTATAATCAATTTTTAATAGTATTGGGTGTTTACAGAAATTTGCCCTTAATACTATAATTTTATTTAACTCTTTTTTTTTTTTTTTTTTTTAATAATAATGACATAATCACTTAAAATTTAAAATATATGTTTGTATTTATATATGTTATAAAAAAATGTCATTACATTTACAGTGCCATTACAATGGATGCAAAAAAAAAAAAAACACACCAATTCTAATTCAAATCATTCAGCTGTTGGCATCTTGAAGCGACAAATCGGACAAAAGTTACTGATCTCCAGCCAATGAATAATGCAATCTTCATGGTAGACATGATCACAGGGCATGCGAGTGACTTCAGAACCAACTCGAAACTTGACGAAACAAATTATACATTTATCAATGTAACCTCCTATCCATGGTACGGTCTTCAACCCATCATGGTCTTCGTCCACGTCCTCGTCCACCTCCCCATCCCACGGCCACGGCCACGGAAAATACGTAACCATCATGTCTATGAAAAAAAAAGGTGTGCTAGTGGTGCTAGAACAAGTGACTTGTTCTATGTCACCAGAGAGAATCCTACTAAATAAATCGTCAGTTGTGTCCGAGAGCTGGTCACGATTGCGGGTGATTACCTCCGTACTGGTGTGGGATCTAGAGAAGGGTTCGCTAGTAGTTATGGCTCGACAATCAGAGAGAATGCTATGAAATATATGGTCACGATCGAGGGTAATTCCGACAGTAGAGAGGAATTGAGAGAAGCATGAGTATGCTTCGTCATCAGACAACAACACAGTGGTCGAAATTGGGTGTTTTGTTTTACTCAATTCAACACTTTTTTCTGAGACTAAGGCATGGTTGAAATCTTTTCTGTCAACGTGTGCCATTAGGCTAAACGAATTAGCCGGTGGAGAATCAAGATTAAGATCAACTTTGCTGAACCACCAATATGTGTGTAGCCGATACATCATATCCAGTAAAAAATAGAGATGGATGGAGATGATGTAAGTAACCTTTGCACCTCCAATATCCTTCTCCTTCCCACGATGAGATCCGAATGAATGGAAAGGAAAATACTTCCACCCCAATTTCTGTGGATGGGAATAACAAAATAGCCCAATTTATGAGACTCCTTGTCAGAATGGGAAAAGAAAATTCCAAAATAAAGAAAATAAATACACCATATATAATAAAAATTGATGAGCTCGATCCACAATTTACGCTACCCAAAAATTGGAAATAAACGCCGAGGAGAAGAACGAATTAGGGAAGACAGATTTTGATAGCAATAATATATGACATATAAAATCTAGAGAGAGAGTAGCAACCTGTGTCTCGTTGCTTGTCGAAATACGACAGAGATGGAAGGAATTAGTGGAAGAGCTTCAGATCGAAGGAGTTGGCCAAGGGGAGGATCTACGGCGGCTGAGGACAATAGCCTCCTTGTGTTTACCCTTCCGAATGAAAAAGTGTATATTTTTAGGGTTAGATACTATATATATCTACCTGCGTCTCGCTTGTCGAAATACGACAGAGATGGAAGGAATTAGTGGAAGAGATCCAAGGAGTTGGCCAAGCGGAGGATCTAGGGCGGCTGAGAACAATAGCCTCCTTGTGTTTACCCTTCCGAATGAAAACGTGTATATTTTTAGGGTTAGATACTCGAGAGAGAGAGAGAGAGAGAGAGAGATAGGTAAATTGCAAAAAAAAACCTTTAAACTATGTTTAAATTTGTAAATAATCCTCTAAACTATGTTTTGTGCATAAAACTCCCTAAACTATCACATTTAGTTGTAAAATGTCCTCTTGTCTTTCCTATTTTTCATTAAATAACAATAATATCCTTTCGTATTAAATTATACGATATATTTTCCTTGTTAAAATAAAATATGAAAAAAAATTCATACTAATTTGATGAAATATTCTCCATTAAATATATTCATATACTATTATTAAACGTGCAAAGTGTTTCAGTATTTATTTGTTAATATAAAAAAATATTTATTAATTGATATAAAACTCTACAAATTAACTAATAAAATTCAAATCGCCTATTTATTTATTTGTTTCTAAAAAAAATTAATAAATTCATATTACAAATTACCTAATAAATATGTACTATTATTAAAAGAGTTTTTATAAATTCAAATTACAAATTCCCTAATAAATCTATACTATTATTAAAAGAGTTTCTATAAAACTGTGACACAAAATCTATATCTATATCTATATCTATACTATTATTATAAAAAAAAATTACATTCATTCAGACCGGCTCAGTTATGATTATGTCCTTATCAGGAGAGGACACATGTCATCAACCTATAAATACAGGAATTGGGGAAGGATGAAGGGTACAGAAATTGAGAATTTTATAAATACTAAGGGGCAGAAATTTAGAAACTCATAGAACATCCAAAGAATAAGCACATTTAAAATCAATGAAAGCCCTGAACATCATCTCAAAGTAAGTTGAGAGAAGCTCTCATAGAATAAGAAGTGGAGAGATTTGGATAGCATCTCAAAGTAAGTTAAGAGATCAATCCATGTGTGTAATACTGACTTTAAATTGTTATCTCTTGTTCGTGTGACTTAATTACATAATTGTGGAAGGTCTAAACAGAAGTCTCCACACCATTGCATAGTTTGCATACGCAACATCAAGTAGATTTTGATTTACAGAGTTTTCGGAGAACATATCACTCATTTATTTTTTATTTATTTCTTAAATCTATTATAAATAATAGATGTGGATTACTCCTAAATATTTTTAAATTAACAAAAATTGCAATAAAAAAGAAAGAAGACTTTGCAGGCAACAAGAAAAATTAACAAAGGATAGAGGATTGTACTCAATTTTTATAAATTAATAAAGTAATTATTATTGCTTCATATGCAAAGAATATCAATTTTTAAAAATTAATAAATTATTATTATTCGCTTCGTAAAAAAAAGTGTTAATGCATAATAAAATATTTAATAAATCAATTGGTGCACAAAATATTGAACTAAATCAATTGGTGCATAAATAATTAATTCACCACATTAGATATTACATCACGCATCTTAATAATATATATTACATTAAATATAATATATTAAATTAAATATTAAAAGGAGTGCTATTGATAATTCAATTTCAAATATGTTAACTTTGACACAAATTAATTACCAATTAAAATTAAATAGGTAAAATAAAATAATTTCTTTAAAACACTAACACTACCTTTTATTGTGAGTTTTTTTAATAAAAGGAAATCTAATTAGAAATGATATATTTAAAGAAAATAAAATAATTTTCCTATTTTATTTTCAATAAAACTCTATCACATTAGATAAGGACATATTTAAAGAGTTTCTATAAAACTCTAACACAAATTACCTATTTACCTATTTATTATTTTGAGTTAAAATAAAAGAAAATCTTAGCCAAGAATTATTAATATAAAAAAAATTATTAATTGATATATAAAATAATATAATTTTTCTAAAATTCTATCACAAATTGTCTTTTATTATAGTTTTTTTTATAAAAAAAAATCTAATTAGATAAAGATATATTTAAAGAAAATAAAATAATTTCTATAACACTCTACCACAAATTATCTATTTTTTTTCAACAAAACTCTATCACATCTGACAAAGATATATTTAAGGGGTCTCTATAAAACTCTAGCACAAATTACTTATTTATCTTTTTATTATGAGTTTTTTTAATAAAAGGAAATATAATTATACGAGTATTATTAATATAAAAAAATATTTATTAATTGATATTAAAAAGAGGTTTTAAAAGAGTTTCTATAAAACTCTTACACAATTTACCTATTTATCTATTTATTATGAGCTTTTTTAATAAAAGTAAATCGAAATAGACAAGAATTATTAATATAAAAAAATATTTATTAATTGATTTAAAAGAGTTTTTAAAAGAGTTTATATATAAAACTTTAACACAAATTACCTATTTATTTATTTATTATGAGTTTTTAATAAAATAAAATCTAATTAGATAAGAATTATTAATATAAAAATTATTTATTAATTAATATAAAAAATAAAATAATTTTTCTAAAACTCTACCACAAACTATCTTTTATTTTAAGCTTTTTTAATAAAAGGTAATTTTATTAGACAAGAATTATTGATACAAAAAATATTTATTAATTGATATAAAAAATAAAATAATTTTTCTAAAAGTCTAACACAAATTACATTTTTTTAATAAAAGAAAATCTAATTAGACAAGAATATATATATTTAAAGAAAATAAATAATTTCTATAAAATTTTACCACAATTACCTATTTTATTTTCAATAAAACTCTATCACATTATGATGAGCATTGAAAAGTGCGATTTAAACCCTTTAAGCTTAGGTATTCTAGGATCTTCATCTATCTTATTTTTCCGCCTTAGACTAATTTCGTGTTATTTCCATTTTCAGGCACTTATCCCCAAAATAAGTCAATTCAGCCAAATAAGAGCATAAATGAAGCAATCTTGAACTGAATGGAAGAAATGAGCAAAGTGGGAGCAAAATGAAGCAAAGTGTGGAAAAGCATCATCTTCGATCGATCTCATCAATGTTCGATCGATCGATCAGAGCATGATCAATCTAGGCCTCATCGAGATGGATCCAAGCCTTTGTCCTTATCCAAAAGATCTCACCATCTTCGATCGATCCAACCCTTCTCAGATTGATCGAAACAATTCGATCTTATCCACACCTACCACTCTACCTACCACTTTTGTCTTTTTCCCAAAATATCTCAGATTTGTCTTTATCCAAAAAGACGCCACCAAGGATAGATCGATCTAGCCAAAGTTTGATAGATCTCACCTAAGTTTAATCAATCTCATCAACGTTCGATCGATCGAACCCTCTTAAGTGCGAATTAAATCAAATTTTAGCTCATTAAAAGTTGGCAAATGGTGCAACCATTTTAGCAGCCCTTGTGCACGAGTCTAGACCATTGGGTGTAACACTTGAGCTACCTATATAAGGATTTGAGCCACTTTTATAAAAAGAGACATTACATGCTTAGATACATTCTTTGGGACCAAGAAAAGAGAGGAGAGGAGCCTAAAGACACCATTTTTAGGAGTTCTTCCATTCATCTAGGGTTTTCATCAAGAACAAGAGCATACCTACCATGGAGATAGCCCTTGAGGGTTGGAAGACTACATCAATGAGTGGCTAAATATCTTCTTGGGGCTAGAGTTAGCCCTAAGCATTCCTTCTAAACCTCGATGTTATGTATTTTGAGGGAATTTGTGTTATAATACTTGTCTTGACACTTATATATATATGAATCTTGTTTATTCAAGGATTTGGTTGGTTTAATACTTTCAATTGATCATTTCATTCTATTCATATGTCTATGTATGCTAGAATAGATGTTCATGTGTTTATCTCTAGTTTTTGTGTTGTTGATGCATGTCTATGTGTATTGATGCTATAGATCTAGAGATTGTCAAGGTACAGTGCTTAATAGAATGCTCTTGTGGTTTATTTGATGGTTCATACTCATTTCTTGATGGATTGTGCCTCTCCCTTAGTTTAATTAGTTTAATTTTCATGTCATTAGCTTAGTTGTAGTATAGTTACCTTAGTTTCTTAGATGAGAGGAAAATCCATGCTTGTTGTTTGATATTCCATGCTTATGAATGCAAGTAGTATATGTCTCTAACCATGTGATGTGTTTGGATTGTGAGTTTAAAGGAAGGATTAATGGCTTAGTTTGATATATTGTACTATTCATTAGGTTGTTTAGACAATATATACTTAATTGGTCATCTATGCTTGTTGAAACAACCAATCACACACACACCAATATTGCAACACATGTTTCCCCTCATTAATTATACATTGAGTGTTTAGAAAGATGATGTTTAGTGGTAACCTCTAAGTCCCAAGATCTCTCTCTCTCTATCTCTTGTTTTCTCTATCCTTTATTTGCTTGTTTACATTAAGCTTGTTAGTTTAGGTTTAGTTTAATCAACCAAACAAACCACATTTTGATCACTCGACCTACTAACCCTTCTTTGTTTCCATTTCAATACGACCCCCTAATCCCTTGGGACGATCCCTTCTCACTCATACTATATAGTATATGTGTTAAGCAGTTTATAAATTTAAAGTATGGTGTCCACTTGACACTAGTTCCACACTCAAAGTGCTTGTGTATCATTTTGTGCACACGCTCGGGAAGCCACCATAGTTTTTGGTGCTGTTGCCGGAGATTTGAAGGCAACGCTGTATTTTGGAAACAATTAGGAATTAGTACTCTTTTGATCGTGTCTTTACTTTATTTTTATTTTCATTTTGGATACTTATTGTGGTTATTCTTGATTGACTATGTACATTGAAATAAGGAAAGTGAGCAAAGGAATTCGAAGCAAGGAGCTAAGCAAAGCATAAGAAAAGGCTAAAAATCTAAAAATTTGCAAAGCTAAGCCAAAAATTGAAAAAATACTTTGAAGTTGCTTATGGACCCTTTGTGAGCTCTTTCTAACTCAATCACTATTTTAATTATCGGCCCGCGTGGAGGCATTGCTTTTCAATTCTTAGATAAATCGTGAGCCCGCGTGGAGGCAATTTTATTTTCTTGCATATTGTTGAAAGCATGGGAGTATAGGAT